TCCCTCCCTCCCTCCCTCCCTCCCTTCCTCCCTTCCTTCCTTTCTTTCCTTCCATCTGCTTTTTCTTTGGAAGAGACCACCAGGCTGATGTTTTCTGTTTAAAGGGTGTCTGCCGTTGGCTCTCTGTTTATCGGAAGAACAGGAATAAATGATGTGCTGTGGTCCCAGAATGGCTCAGCTGCTCATTCCAACTCTACCCAAGCTAGTCCTGTTAGAAGTTCCTGGGGTGGAGCGCAAGTCTCCTGAAAGCTTGGATTTGCTATCAGTCCTGGATCCAGCCCTTTGGGATTCTCACCAGGACTGAGGGAAGCTCATACAGGGGACACCATTTCCCAGCACCAGTCTCCCCTAGGGCCGAGCCTGGTCACAGAGAACTTGTTCCGCAGGATAAGTGTGCAGAGCACACTGTTCAGAGCCGGTCCTGACCATCCCTAACAGCTGAGAGACACAATGTTCTCTTTGTTCTTTCAAGGGTTCTTTCACTTTCTAAAATGCCAACAGATAACTGTTAAGTGTTGATTAAATGACTGAGCAGTGGCTGAGGAGAGCGGTCACCACACCGGTGGCCTCTCCAGCCCTTCAGAATGCTGGGGCTGTGCTGCAAGGCTGGCAGGGAGGCTGTGCCCTGTCTCCTCAGGACACCCTTGCCCTTTAGAAACCAGAATTTTCACCAACTCTTTAGTATTCAAAGGACTATTTCTTTTCGGCTTAGGACTGTGGTTTCGTTGCTCTCAAGTGTCAGAGGAGGCTACCATGCCCAGCTAATTTGCTATTCTAAGTTCATTCATTTTTAGAATTGTATAACAGCTCACAGTAATTATATCAATGTTATCATTCTCACTGCATGTGCGCAAGTTTTTTTAATGTGTGATATAATAATTTTCTATGTGATATAATAATTAAAACATTCAGCTAGGTGATGGTGCCATACACCTTTATTCCCAGCACTCGGGAGACAGAGGCAGATGGATCTCTGAGTTCAAGGCCAGTCTGGTCTACAGAGTGAGTTCCAGGACAGCTGAGGCTACACAGAGAAACCCTGTCTCAAAAAACAAACAAACAAAATCACAGAAAACCAAACAAACAAATAAAAAGTCAAACAACAAAAAATTCCTACGATATAAAATTCTTTTTCTATTTTATATCATGCTACTGTGAGCATTCTCAATAAATCTGACAATGTATATGATCCTACTGTAGCTGTTCTGAACCCAGGGGAAGGTTCAGCAGAGTTAAAGACATCCAGTAAATGTCACACACTTTTGGTTTTCATCACTGGGGTACAGATCATGGATGCTGCGTAAGACATACCCCCTTTAACAAATAATTATCTGATCTAAGATATCAATGTATTGAAATGGAAATCTGAGGTATTTATAGTTTCAATTTTATTGTGTAATCCTAAATCATTTGACCAACTTGCTGGACCAGCTCAGATAGGATGCTGCATGTCCTTTGATTTTGTCATCCTTCATCCCTGCCTTTTCCCTTCTAAGATGCATATTCATATACTTTGTCGTGTGTGTGTGTGTGTGTGTGTGTGTGTGTGTGTGTGTGTGTGTGTGGTGTTAGAGGTCAACGCCATGTCCTTGCACATGCTAGGCATGTGTTCTCCCGCTGAGCAACACGTGTAAGCCCCCATCACATATATATGTCTGGGTTTTTGTTTGTTTTTCTGTGTGGGCTTTTTGGTTTGGTTTTTGTTTCCATTTTATTTGTTTGTTTGTTTAGGAGTATGTAGCCCTGGCCTGGAACTTGCTGTGTAGCTCAGGCTGGCCTCAAACTCACAGAAATTCACCTGCCTCTGCTTTGTTTGTTTGTTTTGAGACAGAACCCACCTTGGCCTCAAACTGCCTCAGCCTCCTGAATCCTCAGACTGAAGGTGTGTGCCACCATTTGACGCTCATTTTTTGACGGTATTGATTTGTAGGAGCTCTTTATGTAGTCTGGATACTAATCCCTTATCAGTTGTCTGCGCTGCAAATACTTTCAGTTTGTGACCTGTTTGCTCAGTTCCTCATGGTTCTTCCGATGAATAGATGCTCTTAAGTTTTCTGTTCAATCCATCTATCATATACTACCCTTTATGGTCTTGGCTATTATTTGTGAATGCCTCTGGAACCCTGAGGGCCATTCTGCTCCCTAGGCTGCTAGTACACCGAGTGTCCCAATCCCTTCTGGTGGTGAGACCTGCAGTTCCAGGGCTGATGTCACGTGCATCACTCTCTCCTCGTCTGCTGCGTTTGCCCAGTTTTTAGGCATTTTGTTTCCTAATGGACTCCACTTTCCTGGCTGGCATCAGACTCTTTCCATGACCTCTCTAGCCTGGACTCTACCTAGTACTGGACTCTACTGCCTGAAACTGACTTCTCTGGAGCCACAGTATGCCACTCGGAATCATCACTGTTGAAGACTCCTCTTCATCATTAGTGCTGCTAGAACTGAGTCCCAATTTTCCAAATTATTGGAATATGTTATTTGCACTAATCATAGACACTCCCTTCTGAGGATGAAGTCAAGAAAGGGTGGAGACAAATATGCCAAGTGGTGCCCAGAAGTACTGCATCTCCCAGGAGGATGCCCTCAAGGTGAGCCTGTTTGCTGTGACCCTCAAGCAAGGACCCTGGGCTCAATCCCTTCAAAACTGACCATAAGGAAAGGATAACATTAGAGGAAAATTTCACACAACGCGGCTTCCTGTTCCCCCATGCCCTAACATGTGACATCCCATCTCTTCTGGAATCCTCTTCTCACCTTTTAGACTTCACTGCAGCCTGGATTTGCCTGGCCTTGGCACTCAGTGTATTATCAAAGCTTTGGGAGAAACTCAGCTTTTGTGTCTAGCATCCCCTATCTGACTGAGAGATATATGTCCTGGCTCAGGATGCCATGACCCAAATCCAAGGTCTGGATAAGGCAGAAGAGATAAGCTTCCAGGTGTCCCACCTGAACAATTGCCAGCTGGGGAGAGGACAAACCTCTAAGTGGAAACGAAGGAGAAGGTGACAATGGGAATAAAAACAGCTCAACGTGAGGAAGAGATAGGATGGATGGAGGGATTTGAGAGTGAGGTGTGCACTACGATACAGGGGCACATGCAGGGACCCTAATACCTGGGAGCACAGGCTGTGTAGTGGGTGATCTTCTGGAGGACACTGTAGTACTCGGGCACAGGCTGTTCAGGACATTATCTTCTGGGGTACACTGTAGTACTTGGGCACAGGCTGTGTAGGACATGATCTTCTGGGGTACACTGTAGTACTCGGGCACAGGCTGTGTAGGGCATGATCTTCTGGGGGACACTGTAGTACTGGGGCGCAGACTGTAGAACATGAGGATCTAACCTGAAAAGAACCCTGTTTTCTCATCTGTAATGTGGGGCAACTTACACGACTGTCTGGAGATTAAGTGATAATCTTTGCTTAGTGTTGGGTGTAGAGTGAATGATCAGGGGCAGTGGTTCTTATCAGCGTCAGCCCATGAACAGACAGTAAGTCGTGAAGGTCCCTGATGGTTGTACTGGCACCTACATGGAGTCAGCACATGTGACTTGTGTGTGCGGCTGTGGGGTCTGTGAACTGAGAATGGTCTGCATTTGAAAATGGCTGAAAGAAAACTTAGACGAATAGTTTATGATGTGGGAGAATGATGCACGATTCAAGTGTCGCTGGCCGTAGTGCTTTACTGGAACACAGCCATGCTCTTCTCTTTTGTATTATCTCGCTTTCTGCCTTTTCAAGAACTTGCTGATTCTTGACAGAAGCCCAGAAGGCTGAGGGTGCATAAATGTTGTCTTAAGCTGGACCTAGCTAGGTTGTCTTCCCATTGTGAAACCTTCTGGCATCCCTTGCTCCCTATTGGTTCTTTCCTTGGGTCTGAGAGAATCTTTTGGTCAAACCAGCCTCAGTTGATACAGCTGACCCAGCCAGAGCCATTACAATAAATCCCACAGGGGAACCAGGACAAGGCTGCTTTGATATCGAAAGCAATGCACAGAACAACTTCCCAAAGGCATGGGATATTATCCCTCAGCAATAATGGTTCTATTATGTTTGGATGTATTTTGTTCTTTGTGTTCAGAGAACACAGACAAATACCTTTTAAAAGTTATTTGTGGAGGTTAACTTGTATTCATTTTTAGGGATGGCTCAGTGGGCAAGAGCAGTACCTGTTCTTTCAGAAGATCAGGGTTCGGTTCCCAGCACCCACATGACAGCTGACAGCTGTCTGGAACTCCAGTCTCAGGGACTCAGAGCTCTCTTTTGGCCTCTGAAGGCACTACAAGCATGTGGTACACAGATGTACAGGCATGCAGGCAAAACACCCATACCCAAACAAAAAGATAAATACATAAAATTTAAATGGAGTTTTGCTTTGTAGCTTTAAACTTTCTCTACATCTTAGCTGGCCTTGAACTTGAAATAAACCTGCCTGAGCCTCCTCAGTGCTGAGATTATAGGTATACACGACAATGCCTGGCTTTCCCCAAATACATCTTTAAATGAGTTACCTACAAAATATGTCAAAGCCACCTCAAGATGGAATTCTAAATCGCCCAGCCCTGTGTGCCTTCACTTCGTTGATGACTCCTCTGGGCGGTGTCTATGTTTAGCTGGAACCGAGATCAGATGAAGGTCATTGAGTTGGAAGAACCCCAGTGAGTGCAAGGCAGGGTTTTAAGAGAATTGCTAGGTAGTCAGTGCCTTTTCCCCCCGAGATGACTGCAGAAGTTGGGATGGAACACAATGGGCCGGGTTCCCAGGGACTGTACAGGGAATGCGGACTTGGGTGGGAGACAACGGTGAGGAAGAGCACAGAGGTGGAGAGATGGGTGGCATGAAAATTGAAGGATGTTTCCCGTAAAGAAGAGGGCAAGAAAAGTGCCAGGGGAGGTAGGCCAGCCCTGGGGATGCACAGGATGTGGAGAACTGAGCAGTTTCCCTGGAGACAGTGGTATA